TTACCGTGTTTACCGTGTTGCCATGTTTACCGTGTTACCATGTTTACCGTGTTACCATGTTTACCATGTTTACCATGTTTACCATGTTGCCATGTTTACCATGTTTACCATGTTACCATGTTGCCATGTTTACCGTGTTTACCGTGTTGCCATGTTTACCGTGTTACCATGTTACCATGTTTACCATGTTTACCATGTTGCCATGTTTACCATGTTTACCATGTTACCATGTTTACCGTGTTTACCGTGTTGCCATGTTTACCGTGTTACCATGTTTACCGTGTTACCATGTTTACCATGTTTACCATGTTGCCATGTTTACCATGTTTACCATGTTACCATGTTGCCATGCTTACCATGTTTGCCATGTTACCATGTTGCCGTGTTGACCCACTTTGAACTTTGGGAACGTCGGTGAGCTCCGGGTTGTGGTGGCGTCGCCAGCGAGCGGAGCGGAACGCCGCTTGCTGCTTGGGAACGAACAGAGCGTGCGGACATCCAGTGGGGGTGCAGTTTGTGTGTGTAGTGTGTGTGTGTAGTGTGTGTGTGCAGTGTGTGGAGTGTTTGTGTGTGCAGTGTGTGTGTGTGTACGTGCAGTGTGTGTGTGCAGTGTGTGCAGTGTGTGTTGGTGCAGTGCGTGCAGTGTGTGCACAACGACGAGCAATTCCAAAGAGATGAGTTGTCAATCTTCGCTGGCGGCACCGTTCGCCAGCGTGGTCCAGAAATAGTCTCACGCCACCGGCCGGTGTCCGCGTGGACACCGCAGCCCGGGGCTCACGGCCATGCCCGAGCGGTCCCCAGCACGGCGGCTGCCGGCGCCGTCACAAATCTTCACCCACCCCCACCCGTCCGCTGCAGCGCCGCAACCCTCAGGGAAGTCGCGCGAATCTGGGAGGGAAAAAAACCACAGTCGCCCCTTCCCGTTCACCGGGAGCTCAGTAGCGTCTCTCGCCATCGCTTGAAGTCACTCCAAGACGTTTTGGACGCATGCGCGAAACGTTCAACGATTCGCGTTCAACCCCCGATGAAGTTCGGAGAGCTGAATGGAGTTCAACAGAACTCAGAGACACCGCCTTATTGTGAGAGACTCAACGCGGACGATCCCTGGGTTTCACCTCCCACGAAGCTCACGGTCCACCCTAAACCACATCCACTCCACAGACCATGGCAGTAGATGCGGATACCTGATGCACAAATGAAATATATTTTTAAAAAACTCTCCAGCAGCAGCGTGCGACTGTGGTGGCCATCCCGAACAGACGGTGCCGCGTTGAACGACGCAATGCCCCAACCACAGGTAGGAAGGAGACATCGCGGCGATGATGATACACCACTCCGCTAGGGCTCCTGACCTGCTGACCTCCTGCACGTGAGATCGTAGTCGTGGCTCTGCACCTCAATCAGCCATACGGAAGAAGAAGAAGACCGTGTTACCACGTTAGCACGGTTACCATGTTACCATGTTACCAAATATTACCATGTTACCATGTTTACCGTGTTACCATGTTTACCGTGTTACCATGTTTACCATGTTTACCATGTTTACCGTGTTACCATGTTACCATGTTTACCATGTTACCGTGTTTACCATGTTTACCATGTTACCATGCTTACCATGTTACCGTGTTACCATGTTACCATGCTTACCATGTTACCGTGTTACCATGTTTACAGTGTTACCATGTTACCATGTTTACCGTGTTACCATGTTTACCGTGTTGCCGTGTTACCGTGTTACCATGTTTAGCATGTTTAGCATGTTACCATGTTTACCATGTTACCATGTTACCATGTTTACCGTGTTACCATGTTACCATGTTTACCGTGTTACCGTGTTTACCATGTTTACCGTGTTACCGTGTTTACCGTGTTTACCATGTTTACCGTGTTACCATGTTACCATGTTACCGTGTTTACCGTGTTTACCGTGTTACCGTGTTACCGTGTTTACCATGTTTACCGTGTTGCCATGTTTACCGAACCCGGTGATCATTTGAGGCTGAGTCGACCTAGGGAAGGACCGGGACCAGTTCTTGTATTCGTCGCCGGTGGTGGTCTCCGTGAGTGGGAGTCGAACCCGGGCTGCCGTGTTCGTGGTGCAGCGCGGTGCTTGACCGCCAAACTCCACATGGCCGCTGCGCATGCAGCTGATTCTACGGCTCTCATGACACAAATGAACCACCAATACCTGCAGCACAAACCACAATCACGCGAACTCCATTCATCCTCAGCAGCGGATTTTTGGCGAAACACCGAACAAAGACGGTGCTCACCGCATCGGGCGCTTTCAGATGCGCTTCTGCGGCCGTCTGGAACGCTCTCCCTTCCGATGTTGGGAAGCCACTGGAGCTGTACACTTTTAAATAATCGTCGAGATTTAAAACTAATTTCTTGAGAATTGATGTTTGTGTTTAGTTAGTTGTCCTTCCCCCGAACCTCATATTAGCACGGTTGGCTCCGTACGGTGCAAAAGAGGCTCAGCATACACGCACACATACAGACCTGCTTGGAATAACTAACACCCCGCGTTATAACACTCACGCGCACTCGTGCCATATTGTGTGTGATGCATGTATGTTGCGTGTGTGTGATACATGCGTGATGTGTGTATGATGCATGCGTGATGTTTATATGATGATGGATGTTGTGTGTACAATGCATGTGTTTAGCCGAGGCTGTAGTAGACCCGCGCTCTGCCCGCGGTTACCGCTGGGCTCCTTGGTTGCACTCTCAGCTTCAAGTTCATTCCCCGGGGTAACAGCGGCAGCAGAAATCGCACACCATGAAGCACGCGCGTGTTCGTGAGCGCGCGTGTTCGCGAGGACGTGCGAATGAGTCCCGACGCTGACTGAGTCGACCGTTTCCGGCTATTGCCCAGAGGAATTAGCGCCGCTCTCCTCCGGGTCCTCCCCGCGCTGCGCCAAGCCCATTACAACGGCACGCGGTGGCTTGGTGTCGCCAGGGTTCTCTCTCTCTCTCTCACGCGCACACGAAACACAAAATGCCCTCCCCGTGTAGCCGACGCCAGGATGTTGGGGCAAGATCTGTTAGCCAGTTCCTATAAAGTCCGACACGGCGCACGAGCAGGCGGTGCGGGCGGCACACATGCGCGTGCGTACACAGACATGCGCGTGCACACACACACAGACATGCGCGTGCACACACACACAGATACCTCTTGTATAGCCTTAACAGACTGTTAGCGCAAGTGCTGTTAGCGAGCACCTATGGAGGCCGGCACGGCACTCGAAGCGGTGGGTGGCGCGCACCACGCCCGGCCCCCTTTTGTCTTCTTAGTAGCGATGATTACGCACCGCACCAGATATTAATTTGAGGCTGAGTCGACCTAGGGGAAGCCCAGATAATCGTCACTGCTGTTGGCCGTGAGCAGGAATTGAACTCGGGTTCGTAGCGCAATAGCCGCTACACTTACCGCTCCCTCCATGCACCTCCTTTGTCTGCCAATCTGGTACCAGCCTCGCCCGGCGGCCATCGTCCCATCTAGCCATGACGTCTCCTCCTGCCCGAGAGCACTTTCCCGAACGACGCCTGTGATTTGCGTTTCCACGCTAATCCACGCGTTCCTCTTGTAAGCGGCTCAGCTATTCATAGCACGTGACTCTCCGCGCTTCTTAGCGCATTCTCCAAGCGTGAGTTCTTCCATGGACCGATGACCGGCCACGTCTCTGATCCTTCTCTTCCATTAGCTGGCCGTAGAGCCATGGTAAAGAATCGGTTAAGTCGCCGGCACAATCCGGGATGTGGGATTTAAGAGGGCGCCTCTCATTCGCCACCGTTACAACACCCGCAGCGGAATGTTTCGAGCGTATATATGCAAACCATTATACGGATTCTTTCACTCAGCGCGCGTGTTACCTCGTTAGCGTTGCACGGGCCAAGAATGCGCTCGATCTCGTCCGAACTGTGAAGCTAAGCAGGTTTGAGCCTGCCTCGCGCTTTCCAGATTATTGCCATGGCACAGCTCAAGCAGCCCGGGCCGGTCCCCATGACCATTCTCTCGCCCTTTCCATTGCCCGCCCCGATCGCATCTCTTCTCCTGAGATGTTAACTACCTCGCCTGGTATACACGGGGTCGGAGAGAGAGAGAAAGACACCGTAAACCCCAAATATACAGCGGGCCTTATCTGATCAAATAAAATAAAATGCAGCCTGGGCACTGGACTCGAGTCGCGCTGCCCCCTGGCCAAGCGACTCACGGCACTCGGCCCCGCCCCCGTTCGTTCGTCTGTCACCGCTGGCTGCGACTCGCGGGGAGTGTCGGAGCGGTTCACGCTACGCCGCACTGCTAACCCGGCGACCCGAGTTCGATTCCCGCTTACGGCCAACACCAAAGGCGATTATCTGAACCGGTTCTGTGCCTCCCCTAGGTCGGCGCAGCCTAAAATGAGTACCTGGTGCAGTGTGTAAACATCGCCACTGGGGAAACAAATGCGGCCGGGCGTGGTGCTGGCCACCTACCCCTCGGTGTGCCATGTCGGCCTTCATCGGTGCTCGCTATAAGGGGGATCTTTGTCTTTGCTCACGGCGCGATCTTTACACGCGGACATCTAATCATCCACGTGCGTATCATCATTTTCTCCCTGTTGTTGGACTCCAAGTGCAAATAGAGAAGTTGCTTCAAACTCGTACGGCTGCAGATTGTTCAACACGAACCATCCTAGCACACGAGTCCCAGTGGCACAGCGAGCGTGGGGGCAGGGCAGGCAGGGGGTGTCCTGCCCCCCCCCCGTGGCCAAAGCTACGAATTTGGGCCCCCTTGACCACCACCATGAGATTTGTTTTCAACAGCTGTATCAAAAAACAACAACTTATTTAAGACGCCGTTCAGATTATTTTGTTTTTACGAAAACGCTTTCACATAGAACTCTGTTTCTGGGATAGTTATTCCATTAGATACGCGTCAATTATATTGCAAAAGAGGTAACTATGGAACTGTAGTAGCTGCATTTTGCGAAGACGGAGCGCCCCTACAGCGTTACATGTTCGAGACCGTGAGCTTAACGATGATGCGATGAGGCAAGAGGAGCCGCGATTTATAATAGCCTCAATGTGTGACCGTGCGAGACATATTGGGGCCCCACCTGACCAATCGCCGCATCCCCTGAGCTGATAGTGCAGCAACTGCGCTACTGGACGTGTCACCTAAGTGTCGCGGACTCTTCTTCTTCTGCGGAAGGATCTCATTTCGAAGGCAGTGAGTCTCCTTTCCACGTCGCCTCTACCAAGAGTCCGTGATTCGGTCGAGTGACTCGGCGGTGGAGCGAGTTCAAACCCGAGATGGGGCTTGACTAAGCCCATCATCTCTCCGGAGTCGATACAAAAAAATAAAAGTGCCGCTTTGTCTAGAAATCTAACAGTCAGCTGTCCCACGAATATGCTCTTCCTCGCCGTAAGAATGTGGAAGTTCCATCACTGGTTGTAAACGGGCGATGTGCGCCAGGAGAATCACTCTTCTTGCGCGCGCGAGTGCATAGCTTGGCACCGCGGACGATGCCACAGCCGCCGCAGCCGCTGATGCCGCGTGCTTTGACCCTGGCGCAGGGCTCCCGCTGCCGGGGCTGTTCGCGCACCCGGGGGAGCTGCCCGGGCGCCAGTGCCGACGCCGGAAAGCCCGCACCGTCTTCTCCGACTCGCAGCTCTCGGGCCTGGAGAAGCGCTTCGAGGTGCAGCGCTACCTCTCCACACCCGAGCGCGTCGAGCTCGCGGCCACTCTCAGCCTCTCCGAGACCCAGGTAGGCGCCGCCGCCGCTCCCCGCTCACAGTCGCGACTCATTACCGTCGTCATCATCATCGTCGTCACCGTTATCATCATCATCATCATCACCGTCATCATCATCAACGTCACCATTATCATCACCGTTATAATCTTCATCATCACCGTCACCAACGTCATCATCGTCACCGTCATCATCATCACCGTCATCATAATCGTCACCTCCATCATCTTCATCACCGTCACCATCATCGTCACCATCATCATTATGACCGTCATTATTAACGTCGCCGTCATCGTTATCACCATCGTCATCATCACCACAATCATCTTCACCTTCATCATCACCGTCATTATCACCGTCATCATCATTATGACCGTCATCATTTACGTCACCGTCATCGTTATCACCGTCATCATCATCACCATCGTCATCATCACCACAACCATCATCACCTTCATCATCACCGTCATCATCACCGTCAACATCATCACCATCATCACCATCAGCAGCAGCCGTGGTCAATCCACTGCTGGATGAAGGCGTCTCCCCAAGCCGGAGACGTCTCTCACGACCGCGGGAGTGCAATGCTGTGTAATACATTTTCGTCCGTGCTCAGATCCGCGTCTAATGCGATTCCAAGCAATATCTAGCCAGGGACGTGCGGTCAGGGGAGGCAGAGCCTCACCTGTCATACTTCAATGAAAATAGCTGTTACGGGAAAAAAAGAATAATTAAATTAAATCAATATTAAGATTTATCCACTGATCTGTGTTATAAATGTCATTTCTGTACGATTCAAATAATTTTCATAGTCAAAATCACCAAATTTGCGGAGCTCCGCTGCAAATACAGAAAGAGACGAGAGGTGAGGCAGCGACGAGCTCAGCCTCCCCTCTGATTGCGCAACCCCTCCGTAACTGGATGGAGCGCGGGCAATAAGCGCGTGCCTGTTACTATCTCAGTATGTCACCAATGTGATGTTTGTAGACCCCTTCATTTCATGTCCTCGCCTTCCATACTCCAGGTAACTTATGTCACGTATGTGTATAAAGATATTTAGGCTCGCTGGTCTCGTCATGAAACTGCATTGAGAAAGCACCAGGGGAGGCAGCTGTCACATCTGCCTCACTGAGGGGGACGTGTCTAACACGCCCCCCTTAGTGAGGACACGCCCCCTCCGTCAGGCCACGCCCCCCTTAGTGTATGAATCTGGCTCTGACACTAGCCAGTGCCTCCCCAGCCATTGACCTCACCGCACGTCACTGTACCCAGCAAAGCGTCTCCCTCTCCCATAGCCAGAGCCACCCTGCGGCTCCGGAGCCGCATGCGGCTCTTTCAGGACTGACATGTGGCGTTATTCACCTGCATTGCGGCTCTTGAAATATTGAAATGCATTCGAAAATAAATGACTCTTCTTGCTGTTGTTATTGCCTACCCCTGCCCATAGCGATTTGACTCACACTTTGATTTTGCTAAATTAATTTGTTCGTTAATGAGCCACTTCGAGCGATCCAGGATGGAACAATCCACGTGCACACGAGCTGGATTGTATCGCTCTATCTCCTCTGCCCGTCGACATCCGCACTACCCAGACAGCAGGCGCGCCGCGAAGCTGCGATGCTACAACGCATGTGACACAATTACTCAGTCTATAGGTCGGCCCCACAGCAGGAAGGACCTGAGTGCCATTCCCGATTTGGGTGCCTCTCTGTATTGATATCTCCCCCTGTTCTGCATGGCTTTCCTTTGGGTTCTCCAGTTTCTTCCCATAGCTTAAACAAACCCATTGGCCAAATATCAACGAAGTGGGGTATCATCACGTGGAAATGTATAGCAGCCAAATACTAAATGCGTGATTTTGATTCTAAATTTGGAGGGAAAAACCAGAGGACCCGGAGAAAAATCCACGACACTACTGGGAGAGAGAACACGGAAACTCCAAAAATACAGCAGGCGTCAGGGTCGGGATTGAACTGACAACCTCCTGCATACCAGGCGAGGTAGTTAACATCTCGCCACGGGGAGTGAGACATTCACACTCCAAATGATTAACAGGCGTCAGGGTCGGGCTGTAACCCACGACTTCGTGTATACCAGGCGAGACTGGGTGAGGCTTTGCGGGGTTAGCAGGACGCCGGAGAAATGCTGTAACCGTCGTTCTCCGGCAGGTGAAGACCTGGTTCCAGAATCGGCGCATGAAGCACAAGAAGCAGATGAGGAAAGGCTCCGACGAGAAGGGCAGCAAGGAGGAGGCGGCGACCGAGGGCAGCAGCCCCGAGCCGAGCGGCAGAGACGGCGCTGCCCCGAGCAGGGCAGAGGACGACGGCTCGCGGCTCGCGTCGGGAGCGGCGCAGAGCGAGAGGGGACCTCGGAAAGAACAGCGGGCGGAGGATGACGATGACGAGGAGGAGGATGAGGAGATCGAGATCGTCGAAGATGGAGAGTTCTATTCGCTACAGCATCATCCGCCCGTCCAGGGCAGTCACTAGCGCTGCTGACCGCTTGACTGCCCCGTGCAGGGGAGCCCCCCAGCCGCGTGTCTCTGTCCCGTTCCACACAGCCACGGGCAAGCGGTTCGTTGTCGCAGAGATTGTTTTGACATGTTGGCTTTCGCGACCAATATCATCCATAATACAGGTTTACAATCTGAGATTGTCAATGTTGTTGTTTGGCTCTCCAACACACGCGTGTGCTGTACTAATAACGAATTGGCATGTTCTCTTTACGTGACAAACCTTACCAATTGGCTGTGTCGGGTGGTGGCGGGTTTAACGACGCATTTATACATTTACGTGATCTAACCCAAAAAAAAACCTGTATTATAGAGATTGTTTTGCTTCAGTTCTAATATATTTTAACGTTATAGTTCTGCTTTGTATAACCATTGTAGTATATGGAGGCATTGTCAGTATTTATATTCTATGTGCGTGCGCGTGTGTGTGTTGGCCTCAAGGTGCACATGGCCTGGCACAGGCGTCGTGGTGACGTCACCGCCACTTAGTGGCGAATGGCGGTTGTTGTTGTTGTACGTTTAATAGGGAGCGGTGGCACAGCGATTAGCGCACTGCACCTACGAACCTGGCGACCCGAGTTCGATTCCCGCTCATAGCCAGCATCACTGGCGATTATTTGAACCAATTCTGGGTCTCCCCTAGGTCGACTCGGCCTCAAATAAGTAAGGAGTGTGTAATAGTCAGCACTGGGAAAACAAAGGCGGCCGTGTGTGGTACTAACCACCCACCCCCTCGTGCGCCGTCCTTCATAAGTGCTCGCTAACAGCACTTGCTCCAACAGTCTCTTAAGGCTACACGGGGGACCTTTGTCTTTATACATGGATCTACCCGCTCCGTGTGTGGAGCGCTCAGTGGCACTTGCAGCTGAGCTTCTTGAGCGCTCGCAATGGTGGCTGGGAGAGCTTCGTGGGTCTGTGAGCATTCCTTCCACCCACACGAAACCGTCATCAGCAGTCATCATTATTAACCTGTGAGTTTCATCGTGGTAACAATAGTCATGATAATTAAGCGTATTTGCTATTTGCCGCTGTTGTTATTCTAGCGCACGCCAATCATCACGCAGCAAGGGCGCTGCTGTGTCTCACAGATACAGCCTGTGGCAGTTCCACAGTAGGGGGCGATGTTTATGCTGTGTGGTCTTGCCTAGGGGCACCCCCAGTGGCAGCTGTCCCTGTGTGGCACAATGCTATCATCATGCAGCAAGGGTGCTGCTGTGTCTCACAGACACAGACCGCCGTAATCCCAATTGAGTAATTTGCGGTGAACTTTTTTTTTGGCTGGCACACAACGACCTACTGGTTTTGGATGACGTGAGGGGGGATGGGGGGTGTAAAATGTCTATTTTGAAGCAGACGCCGCGTATCGTTAACACGCCGTATCGTTAACACGCCCGAAGTATTAACCAGGGCGCCCTGCTAGATTCGAGCCACGAAACCTCTGCAAACAAGCGGTGAACGCGAGCCTCCGCTCAGATATCCCGGGCATTGCCATTCCCGCCGTCACGTGGCAGGGGGCCCCGGGTGGCCGGTGGGTGGTCACGTGGCACACCGGTTGCCCCCCACCACCACCCACCTCGTCACGGCGAAGAGGAGTACTCTCTTCCTCCCCTGGTGCGCTTGTTCGGGTTGTACCACCATGTGTCGTTCGATCAGTTCCTGAAGGAGCTCGCAAACACGTGGAGTGCAACGTCGGACAGCGTGCGGAAAAAAAACACACGGCATGACAGCCTGGAATTCCCGTGAGTGAGAGGTCGAGAGAGAGCGAGAGAGCTTTGCGGCATAACCGCGAGAAACGACCCAGTCCACTCCCCTGCACTGTGGCGCCAGCAACTTCAGCCGCGATGACCTCTTGACCTTTGCGCTGCCACCACTGCGGATTCTGCGCTTCTCCTGACTACTGTCTCAGGCACGGAGCCGGTTGTTGTTGCGCTACCGCATAACGGACCGACTCCCATGATCGACTTTGTTGGACTGGGAATCACGCGGACTCACGATGTTGTGGGCGTCTGGACACCCACGGTGGACTGCGCCCAGCCATGCCAAGTGGCCAGGCCAGGTCGGAGGTCACCACCTCCACGTGGATTCCAGCGCACCACGTCCTATCAGATGTCGGAAGCTAAGCAGACTTGAATCTAGATAGTGATTGGATGGGCGACCGCCACAATGCGTGCCAGGGTGTCAAAGGCTGCCTGCGGGCCTACGTGCGGGGGCTGCGGAGGGCCGTGCAGTTAAATCCACGGATGTCTTCTGTACTTTCACGCTCTCGAATCCGCTGCCCGCCTTCACCAACTCGCACTGACCAGCGCGGTGAAGTATGGTCAAATAACCCCCACGACCGCACGGTGTGGGCCAGGCCCCTCATCCAGCAGTGGATGTGGCTAAGGGGCTGTGACGGGAAATTATTCTCGAATATGGTTCTTCAAAATTAGTTTTTTCTAACCCACACACACCGTGATTGAGCACAGGGAACAAGCAGCCTCATTCAGAGCGGTAATAGGGCAATAGCGTAACGCGTCCCTTGAAGGGAGCGAGAGGCAGGGAGCTGGCAAAGAATTACGGGCGGGGGGGGGGCACAGCACGGCGCCCACGCGACGATGACGCGAAGAGACGCCAACGATGAACTCCACCCTCCAGCCTCGTGCCGCATCCACGTCCCGATCGACACACGTTGAAAGGACACTCACAGTGACCACCCACCACCAATGTGACCACCCACACTCACAGTGACCACCCACCACCAATGTGACCACCCACCACACAGTGACCACCCACCACCAATGTGACCACCCACCACACAGTGACCACCCACCCACACAGTGACCACCCACCACACAGTGACCACCCACCACACAGTGACCACCCACCACCACAGTGACCAACCACCACACAGTGACCACCCACCCACAGTGACCACCCACCACACAGTGACCACCCACCACACAGTGACCACCCACCACACAGTGACCACCCACCACACAGTGACCACCCACCACCAATGTGACCACCCACCACCAATGTGACCACCCACCACCAATGTGACCACCCACCACACAGTGACCACCCACCACCAATGTGACCACCCACCACACAGTGACCACCCACCCACACAGTGACCACCCACCACACAGTGACCACCCACCACACAGTGACCACCCACCACCACAGTGACCACCCACCACACAGTGACCACCCACCCACAGTGACCACCCACCACACAGTGACCACCCACCACACAGTGACCACCCACCACACAGTGACCACCCACCACACAGTGACCACCCACCACCAATGTGACCACCCACCACCAATGTGACCACCCACCACCAATGTGACCACCGACCACCAATGTGACCACCCACCTCACAGTGACCACCCACCTCACAGTGACCACCCACCACCAATGTGACCACCCACCACCAATGTGACCACCCACCACCAATGTGACCACCCACCTCACAGTGACCACCCACCTCACAGTGACCACCCACCACACAGTGACCACCCACCCACACAGTGACCACCCACCACACAGTGACCACCCACCACACAGTGACCACCCACCACCACAGTGACCCCACCCACAGTGACCACCCACCACACAGTGACCACCCACCCCTACAGTGACCACCCACCACACAGTGGCCACCCACCACACAGTGACCACCCACCACCAATGTGACCACCCACCACCAATGTGACCACCCACCACCAATGTGACCACCCACCTCACAGTGACCACCCACCTCACAGTGACCACCCACCACACAGTGACCACCCACCACACAGTGACCACCCACCACACAGTGACCACCCACCACACAGTGACCACCCACCACACAGTGACCACCCACCCCTACAGTGACCACCCACCACACAGTGGCCACCCACCACACAGTGACCACCCACCACCAATGTGACCACCAACCCCACAGTGACCACCCACCCACAGTGACTACCCACCACACAGTGACCACCCACCTCACAGTGACCACCCACCTCACAGTGACCACCCACCTCACAGTGACCACCCACCACCAATGTGACCACCAACCCCACAGTGACCACCCACCCACAGTGACCACCCACCACACAGTGGCCACCCACCACACAGTGACCACCCACCACCAATGTGACCACCCACCCCACAGTGACTACCCACCACACAGTGACCACCCACCACCAATGTGACCACCCACCCTCACAGTGACCACCCACACCCACAGTGACCACCCACCCACACAGTGACCACCAACCCCCAATGTGACCACCCACCCCACAGTGACCACCCACCCACAGTGACTACCCACCACACAGTGACCACCCACCACACAGTGACCACCCACCCCACAGTGACCACCCACCACACAGTGACCACCCACCACACAGTGACCACCCACCCTCACAGTGACCACCCACACCCACAGTGACCACCCACCCACACAGTGACCACCAACCCACAGTGACTACCCACCACACAGTGACCACCCACCACCAATGTGACCACCAACCCCACAGTGACCACCCACCCACAGTGACCACCCACCACACAGTGGCCACCCACCATACAGTGGCCACCCACCACCACAGTGACCACCCACCCCACAGTGACCACCCACCACACAGTGACCACCCACCACACAGTGACCACCCACCACACAGTGGACACCCCACCACACAGTGACCACCCACCCCAATGTGACCACCCACCCCTCACAGTTGACCACCCACCCCTACAGTGACCACCACCACCCACCAATGTGAACCACGCCACCACCACAGTGACGCACCCACCACCAATGTGACCACCCTACCACACAGTGACCACCCACCTCACAGTGACCACCCACCACCAAATGTGACCACCCACCCCACAGTGACACCCACCACACAGTGACCACCCACCCACACAGTGACACCCACCTCACAGTGACCACCCACCACACAGTGACCACCCAACCGCACAGTTGACCACCCACCCACAGTGACCACCCACCCACAGTGACCACCCACCACACAGTGACCACCCACCCACAGTGACCACCCACCACACAGTGACCACCCACCACACAGTGACCACCCACCACACAGTGACCACCCACCACACAGTGACCACCCACCACACAGTGGCCACCCACCACACAGTGACCACCCACCACACAGTGACCACCCACCACACAGTGACCACCCACCCACACAGTGGCCACCCACCCCTACAGTGGCCACCCACCCACACAGTGACCACCCACCACACAGTGACCACCCACCCCCAATGTGACCACCCACCCCTACAGTGACCACCCACCCCTACAGTGACCACCCACCCCACAGTGGCCACCCACCACACAGTGACCACCCACCACACAGTGACCACCCACCACACAGTGACCACCCACCCCACAGTGACCACCCACCTCACAGTGACCACCCACCACCACAGTGACCACCCACCCACACAGTGACCACCCACCCACACAGTGACCACCCACCCACACAGTGACCACCCACCCACACAGTGACCACCCACCCCTACAGTGAC